GGATCCCAGTGCTGGCCAGCCACCAAAAAAAAATTTTCTAGCTTTTGCTGGTCTAGCTTCATGTCCCATTTATGTGCCAGGCATTATGCCACACCTCTTCCTTACACCCTAGTAATATCAACTTCTCACCCTACCTGAAACAAGCATTTCCTACCCAGATTCCGGAATTTATGTTCCAGAGCGACAAGCAAAAATGTAATGTGCCCTAGTGGAGCTATGCAGAAGTGCTATGGGGGCCCAGAGGAGGGGCAATCATCAGCCTGCATGTTTGGGAAAGAGGGACCTCTAAGCTTCCAGGGTGAATTACTAGGTGAAGTTAAAGGGGAGAGGATCAGCAGACAGAAAGGCTAGGAGATGGAAGGAGCGTAAGGGAAGTTTTCAGAGTGTTTAGGATCACGGTGTGGTTTAGCAGAGCCTTATAGTGGGGGAGGGACACTAGGTACAGGTGGTTCTTTCTGCCCAGCTAAACTGTCAAAGAGGTGGTGGAGCAAATTAGAGGAGTAGCTTCAAAAGATTTGCAGGACAAAGAGATCCTCTGGAGTGCGGAAAGAACCTTAATGCAAGGCTTTGTCAGTAATTTAGGAGGGAAATGCTTTGGGCAGGAACTGGGGCACTAAAAGCTATGCTTCAGGGCTGGAGGGGAGAGTGGGAGGCTCCCAGATAGAATCAATGAGTTAGAGTTAGTAAAGCAATGTGTGCTTGTGTTTTGGGGGGTTGGGGTGTGTCAAGGAGGAATCTGGATTTTATGTGTAAAATAAGAGTATAGTGCTTACCTCATTAGATAAGATGTGTGAAGCTTCTGGTTTAGCACCTGGCGCATGGCAGGTTTTCAAGGGGGTTTAAAGCTGACACATCATTTTCAATAGGTTGCATGATATAATCCTCAGAAAAAGTTTGGATAGATAGGCAGATAGCTTACAGATGTTAACATTGAGGCCCAAGCCTTTCAGATTGACAGTCAGGTTGAGATTCCAGACCAGAGCTTCTGACCTGAGACCTCCATGGCTTCCAGTGCGCCTTGCTGCAGTTGGAAGAACTTCCAACTGAAAATTCTCGTTACTGAAATTCTTTTAAGATGGGTATATTGAACTTGCCTTCCCAGAAAGATTCCGAGAAATGAAAGACTAGCTCAGTATAATGCTAATTGCAATGATAGTGGTTCTACTTAACAGAACCTTCCGTAAACCACTCCTGAAAGGACAATTGGCTAATCCAGGAATTCACTCTTTAGATAACCTGGTGGGGGGAGGGAGGGAGAGAGGGAGGACCTTACAGTTTTAATAAAAACCATTAACTTCAGCTAATAGCAATAACAATGGAGGTGCCTGGTGATTGTGGGCACTTAAATTGTAAATGGAAATGGGAGGGCACCTTGGATTTCCCATTGTTACATGCTAATGAAGTGGCTGTACTCAGACAAAGGTGGAAGGGGAAATTGGTCAGGGCGTGGTCTGGCCCCACACTGGGTAAGAAGTCTGTGCGGGATGCTGGTGTCCTGGGCCCAGAATTAGGATGTCCTCCTCTGCAGTACTTGGCTTTGTGTTCCTATACTTCCCTGGACCTGTTTCTCTCAGTAAAATATGTATGATCAAATCCAGGGGTGGCCATCACTTGTCAATCAACTGGCAACCAGATAGTTGGTCATCTTTTTTTCTAGTCAAACCAAAAAGAACTGAGAAAGATGACTTGTAGTTTCCTACATGCACTCTTCAGAGACATTTTCCTCAAGCACCGATGTGCACGGAATCTGTGATGGTATCTGTCCGGATCTCTGCCCCCAGTGGCTTGCACTGGGGTAGGAGTTAGGACATGTGGGCAGACAGGAGGCAAAATGTGATCAGGATAGGAACAATACGATGTAGCAGAATGAGACACGTCACAGGAATCCCATAGCAAGAGCTGAATAGAGGTGGGAAGAGCTACGGGGCTGGTCTGAGAGGCTTCACAAGGATGTGGTCTTTGAGCTGCAGAGGTTCCTACACACACGCACACACACGCACGCACGCACGTGCTCTTTCTCTCTCCCTCACTGATGACTTTATGAAATACAGATTCTCTGGCCCCTCCCCCAGAGACAGATTTTGTATGTCAAGGATGGGGGCTGGGATTCTAGTAAGAAAATATCAGCAGCAGAAAAACAAACTGCCCAATGCCCAGTAGCTCTTTTCTTGGGGGTGGGCAGCTGGCCAGTATAGGGATTCAGACCCCCTTGACCTTGGAGTTATAACTCTGTGCTCTAACCAACTGGACCAACCAGCCAGCCCTGCCCTGTGGTTCTGATAGTCAGCCAGGTTTAGAGCCCAGGTGGAGGGCCAAGCCCAAATAACCCAGGGTATTACAACAGAGTGGCGTAACAGAGTTGTTAGTGCTCCGGGGAGCTGAGGGGTTTGCCCAGTGGAGCAGCAGTAGGAGGGAGGGCCAGGTCTTGGAAGTGCGGGTGCAGAGGCCCAGGCCAAGGAAAGACCATGCTCTGCTCAAGAAACTGAAGGTAACTTGGATTTGGTGGAGCACTTAGGGAGAATGGTGGGGGAATAGGGTTAGGGTTAGGGTTAGGGTAAGTTAGGGACAGATTGTAAAGGGCTAGCCTTGACTATTGTGCTAAGAAATCTGGACTTGGGCCGGCCCGTGGCTCACTCGGGAGAGTGCGGTGCTGATAACACCAAGGCCCTGGGTTCGGATCCTATATAGGGATGGCCGGTTTGCTCACTAGCTGAGCGTGGTGTTGACAACACCAAGCCAAGGGTTGAGATCCCCTTTCCGGTCATTTTTAAAAAAAAAAAAAAAGAAATCTGGACTTGGGCCGGCCCGTGGCTCACTCGGGAGAGTGCGGTGCTGATAACACCAAGGCCCTGGGTTCGGATCCTATATAGGGATGGCCGGTTTGCTCACTAGCTGAGCGTGGTGTTGACAACACCAAGCCAAGGGTTGAGATCCCCTTACCGGTCATCTTTAAAAAAAAAAAAAAAAAAAGAAATCTGGACTTGATGGCGGAATTACTGGTGAACCAGCCAAAGTTTATTTATGCATGAGATACCTTGATAAAATAATAAATGAGAAAGACTTTCTCTCCAAACAGCTTTGACTGCTGTCAGCTTGCTTTGCTCATTCAGTCAGTGAGAAGTTCTTGTGTCTTTTATCTGTGCTATTTGGGGCTTTGAGGAGACAGCGACACATCTGTCCTCAAAGAGCTTACATTTTAGTGGGAGAGACAGATAATAAATAAGTGAAATAGAAGGTGTGTCAGATGTGTTACGAAGAACAGTAAAGCAGAAGAGGGCACCATGGAGTACCGGGGAATGGGGCAGAAGGTACAATTTTAAATTGGATGGGCAAGGAAGGTGTTACCGAGACCGCAGAAGTCCATTTGCTAGCCAATAATTGAGAGACAAGAGTTGGGGGCCAGCCCGTGGCTCACTCAGGAGAGTGTGGTGCTGATAACACCAAGGCCACGGGTTCGGATCCCATATAGGGATGGCCGGTTGGCTCACTGGGGGAGCGTGGTGCCGACAACACCAAGTCAAGGGTTAAGATCCCCTTACCAGTCATCTTTGAAAAAAAAAAAAAAAGAATTGGTATAAGGAAAGGTATCCTTTAATCAGGAAGCTGGCAGCCTGGGGAAATGGTGCACTTATGTCTCAAAAACCATCTCTATCTCTCGCAGGTTTGCCAAAGGGCTTTATAGGGAAGAAAAAAAATAACTTTTGGTGGAAAGTTGATAAATGGTGACCAAGCAGAGATGTGCAGACATGCTTGAGTGTTTCAGATAAACATCAAAGAACTTACCGAGTGGGAGCTGATCAACGTCATACTTCGTTCTCCATGGGTTCAGTTCCTGTTATTCTTAAATAAGATCAGGTTAGTAAGCTAGTAAAGAATGGCCATCTGGGTTAATAATTTTTATCTGATTATTTTTGTACAATGTGAGATCAAGAGTCATTGCATTCTGGCAATTAGCTGCAGGCTATGTGGTTCGGGTTACAGGAGAGAACAAGTTTTTTTTTTTTTTTTAAAAGATGACCGGTAAGGGGATCTCAACCCTTGGCTTGGTGTTGTCAGCACCACGCTCAGCCAGTGAGCGAAACGGCCATCCCTATATAGGATCCGAACCTGTGGCCTTGGTGTTATCAGCACCGCACTCTACCGAGTGAGCCACGGGCCGGCCTGAGAACAAATTTTTAAATTCAAAGGTTTAACAAAATGGAGTCACTTCTGTTCAGGCTGTTACAAAGGCTGCACTGAGAAGGTGATATTTGACCTGTTAAGCAGGTGAGGGAGGGAGTTTTGGGGCTAAGCAGAATTGTGCAAAGGCCCTGAGGCTGGTGTATGTCTGGTATGTTCAGGGAATAACCAGATCAGTGTGGTTGAGCTGCAGTGAACTGGAGGCAGAGAAGTAAAAGACCCTAGCAGAGAAGGGCAGAGGTATGATCAGACGTGTAAGGTCTTGTAGCCATTGTTGGCATTTGGTTATTCCTCCCTTCTTTCTCTTGAATAAATTCATGAATAATGCAGGATAGCAGAATGTGAAGAAGCTTGTTTTCAAAGTTTCTCTCACTTGTACTATTGAAAAAGCTTTTTCAATAAAAAATAAACTGGACTCCTCGCATCAGTCTTGCCTTTTTCTGATTTGTCTTCCTTGCTGCTCTGTGACATATTTCTAAAATGCTTGTCACATAATTGCTTAAAATCCTTTCAGTGGCTCCCTGTGGTCTCTACACAATAAAGTTTTATCTCAGGCTGACATACACAGACATTCATGATCTGGCATCTTCTTAGCTCTGTTAGTTAGGATTTTTGTTTACATAAGCTACTATAAGTTAACTTAAGCCAAAAAAAAAAAAAAAAGGAAATTTGTTATTAAGGAGAGAGGAATGTCTCATGAACCCAGGGGCAAAATGAGGCTGTATCTCAAGAAGGGACAGAAATCAGGGTGCACTGGAAGGTTGTAGAAGCTGTCTGTCTGCTTTCCCCTTCTGCCTCAGCATTTTCATCTCTCTGTGCAGCAGCCTTGTTGGAGCCTGTGCAGACAAGATTATGGAAGGAAAAGGAGGAGCAGGTCGGACACCCAAGAGAGGTAACAATCTCTGGACTGACAAACTTGGCTTCAGAAAATTCTACTCTGTAGTTTTGTGTCTATGTCTCTGGCTTTTTAATTTTCTCTTAATTAAAAAAAAGGTTTTGATGAATATGTAATACATTCTTTTTATTAAAAATTTCAACAATGTGGAAGTATACAGAAGAATATTGAGTTATTTTTTTCACATACCTCTTTCTCCCACCCCTGGGGCTAATTACTGATGGGCAGAGAGCTTTCTAGCCACTCTTCTACGCATTTATATGCCTATATAGTCACACTGCAAATATCTAATTTTTGGTTTTTCCTACATGAAATTGTACCAAATGTGTTTTAATCCAGCTTGCTTTTTGAAGTTAATAATATATCTTGTAGCTATTCTTTTGGTAAGTATTTTTCTAAATTTCTTAGAAATTTAAATTCTTTTGGAAATATCCAATCTTGTCTCTCAACAAATACATTTAAAAATGTGTTTCTATACTTTTGTGTGTGTGTGTGTGTGTGTGTGGTTGGCCTGTATGTATACTTCTTTCAGGAAAGAGGATCAGGGTCCCTCTATTTGTATTGCATTGTTGCTAGCACACAGAAAGAGCTGGCAGACGGAATTCAGGGCAATATCTTGGGACTATTAAAAATTTTGGTTAATGCTTACACCAGCATTTCTTCTCAAGTTACTTAATGTTTACATATTAATTCATAGTTAATTTCTAGCTGATCCTTCAGAAGCCTGGGAGGAGTGCTAAATATTGAGTATATAAAAGCTGAGAGGCTGGCTGGTTAGCTCAGTTGGTTTGGATCTCCATAATGGCCAGCTGCCAAAAAAAAAAAATTACTAAAAAAATAAAGGTTTGGGCAATCTCAGCCGTCAGATTTTTTCAAGTGTGGTTGATCCCAGGTTCCTAAAAATCTCCAATTCTTGTAATCTGGAAGTCTCACAAGCCTGAATACCACTTCTCTCCAGTTCTTAATCCTAAATAATCGCTTCTATCAAGAGCCCCAAAATCTTCATTGGCTTCTTCCTGACAAGAATTTTCCTGGTCTGGGGCCGGCCCGGTGGCGCACAGCTACAGTGCGCCGCTTGAGAGCTCAGCAGCGCTCCCACCGAGGGTTCGGATCCCACATACAGACCGGCGGCTCACTGGCTGAGCGAGGTGCGGGCGCCACACCGAGGGTTGCGATCCCGTTGCCGGTCACGAAAAAAGACAAAAAGGAAAAAAAAAAAGTTTAAATCTATTGTTTGGGCCAGCCCGTGGCTCACTCGGGAGAGTGCGGTGCTGATAACACCAAGGCCCCGGGTTCGGATCCCACATCGGGATGGCCGGTTCGCTCACTGGCTGAGCGTGGTGCTGACAACACCAAGTCAAGGGTTAAGATCCCCTTACCGGTCATCTTTTTAAAAAAAAAAAAAAAAAAAAAAAAAGAATTTTCCTGGTCTGGGTGACCTCATCCTCCATGGTCTATATGAGGCTTTAGACAACTGGGATTTGTGAAGCACCACAGTTTGTCCTCGTGGCCAACACCCAAGAGGGGTCCTGAGGCAATAATACTGACCCTCCTCATATTTGGGTAATTTCTGTCTTTCCCAAGATAAAAGAGAATAGAACTGAAGCAATAAGCTCTAATTTACCCTTTGTCTTCTCAAATACTTCTCTCTGTTGAATTTAAAGGTAAATCTTGTAGGGAGCCTGGCTGCACCTTAGGGTAGCTGTGTTTAAACTCACAATCTATTGTTAGGTCTGCAGGTCCAGAAACTTTTTTTTTTCTCTTTTTAAGGCTGGTCAAGTGAAGCAGTGGGGGAAATTTGATATATATTATGCCAACCTCACAGAAGACTGTTGCATAAACCAAAATGCCAACTAGTTATTAATTATCAGTCACTAGTATTCTTCTTAAATACAAATACAATCATGTTGGCTCACCATTTCCTTTAGGCCCTGTAGGATTAAGGTCAAAACTCTTTAGCCTAGCTTTAGGAAAAACAAACACCGTTTTCATCTCCTGTACTCACAACAGAACACTTCTGTAACCATATGTGAGGTTTTTTTCCTCCTACACCAAGCTATTCTCCAGCAGACACCAACTGGGTGTCCTATAACTCAATTCAGTTCTAGCATGATCTACCTGGAGATAGCATCAGATCCTACAGGTTAAAGGATCAGTATCACAAGACTGTCCCCACTTCTGATGCTAATTGCAAGCCCCAGGTTGTGATTTGTGCTTCTGACTGACCAGTTATAAATTGGGGTTCCCAGGACACCCCCCTTGGGTTCAATAATTTCCTAGGATATCACAGAATCCAGGGAAACACTTTACTATGTATACCAGTTTATTATAAAAGATATTATAAAGGATAGATGCACATGCAGATGAAGATATGCACAGGGCAAGGTATGGGGAAGGAATGCGGAGCTTCTATGCCCTTCTCCAGGCACACCACCCTCCCAGCACCTCCACATATTCAGCAACAGAGAAGTTCATTGAATCTTACTGTTTCAGAGTTTTTATAGAACTTATTCTCTAACCTCTTTCCTCACTTTCCCACAGGTTGATGGGTGGGGCTGAAAATTCCGATGATCCTCTAATCACTCGGTCTTTCTGGTAAGCAGCCCCATTCTGAGTTTATCCAGGGGCTCCACCCTAAATCTCCTCATTCACATAAACTCAGGTGTAAAATTGGCTCCATGAATAATAAGAAATTTACTCAGGAAATTCACAAGGTTTTAGGGGCTCTGTGCCAGAGACATAGGATAGAGACCAAATATATTTCTTATACCACATTGGCATTTGCAGCCTTTATACCTGGCCTTTACATCTGTGGGAAGTTTACATCTATGGGAAAGGGTACATCTAAACCAACTAGAAAGTTGGTTCTCATATATCACTCATGTTCTTTCTATATGCTTCTCCCTCTGTCTGGAATGTACTTTCTGACTCTTTACCGAGTAAGGTCCTTGTTTTGTTTTTTTTTCCTTTTTGTCTTTTTTTCATGACCAGTAACGGGATCGCAACCCTCGGTGTCACGCCCGCACCGCGCTCAACCAGTGAGCGGACCAGTCTCTATATGGGATCCGAACCCTTGGCAGGAGCGCCGCCGCGCTCCCAAGCGCCGCACTCTACCGAGTGCGCCACCAGGCCGGCCCAAAGGTTCTTGTTTTAATTGAAGGTCCAGATCAAATATCACCTTCTCTCAAAGCCTTCTCCGACCAGTCCTGCCCCAACAGCAGACCATATCATATTTATTGCTCCCAATTCTGGACTACTATGGCCCTTATTTTATTAGGTTATAACTAATCACATACTCACACCTGCCTCTTCCATTAGATGGAACTCCTCAAGTTCCAGAACTCTGTCATCTATCAAGATAACCCAGACCAAACACAAGAATCTCAATAAATGTTGAACTGAATTTATGAATTTGTATTTTCTGCAATTATTTCTTTTTCATTCCTAAGTTCCTATAAAAGCTAATTTAGAAAATGTCAGCCTGTCTGAGCTGTCCTTAGGGGAAAGGAGGAAAAGGGCACTTGTTCATGCAGAAAAAAGCACATTCCTGGGGGCCAGGGATAGTGACTGCTGTGGAAATGCAAGAGAGGGACCCCACAGGGAGGGAAAGAGGTAATGGGAAAAGCCAGATGAAATGACAGCTGTTTCTGTTTCTTTCTTCCTGAGATTTTCCTTTTGAGAGCTCTTCTTTTCTCAGATCTGGAGTCTTGGATATTTTAAATAAAGGTGCTGCTCCCTGCACTGTCTCTGTGAAGGGTCTCCTCTACGTTTGCATGCAGTGGGGGGAGGTCTGCTTCCTGATTGGGATCTGTCTCAGGTGGGTGGGGAATAATCAAGAGGAGAGGATTGGTTCATGGTTGCCCAACATCCCACCACCCTCCTTCCAGCTGATCGAAAGGAAAGTGTGATGATGTGGGCAAGTGCAGTAGAACACTCTTTTGGAAGGAGGAAATGGAAGTCTCTGGGGAAGGAAAAAGCAGCCAGGGGCATGAATTCAGCCTGACTTTGTTCTGGTGTCTCCCAGCATCCTTCCCACAGTGGCTGTCAAGTCATTTCTCTGCCTCTGTGCCTCCCCTCCCTTATTCCTACTCCTGCAAACCTATAGATCTACTCCAGAGAGGAAGCTGGGAGCTGACAATGGAGAGAAGCCACAGACCAGGAACCCTGGCCTTCCCCCATGATCTAGATGGTGTTTACCAAGTCCTCAGCCTTGAAGTCATTTATGGTGCTCCCTGCCTTACTGAAGAAAAATGGATTTTACCTCAGTTTCTGATTCCTGTTTAAATATTTAGTTTAATCAGCGCAGGCCCAAGTGCCTTTTCCATTTCCCCTGGTGCCTGGGAGCCATGCTGACACCAGCATCATAAATAATGCATCCAATCCCAGCAACATGCCACTGGCTGGGAGTCACTCCATCCCTCAAGTCTCCAGGCTGCCCTCTGTTGTAAATGCTTGGGGTGAAACTGGGTCAGGATTGAGAAGTTAGTGTTGAGCCCTGAAGGCTTCAGCTTCAAGGCTACTCCTGGAGGGAGTCATTGCAAAAAGCAGTCTGCACTCCAGCCCAGATCTGAGGGGCCAGTGAGGGGGTGTGAGGTAGGTGTGTATTGGTGGGGGGAAGTGGGAACATCAACGCCAGACTGTTCAAACTCTGCCTTTGGGGTTGCTCCGACCTGGAGGGGAGACTTCAGGGCCCCTTAGAAAAGGTCTGACTTAGGCTCTGTGTGAGTGTGTGTGGAACAGAGGACAACAGATTCCAGGAAGCAACTGAGTTCAAGGGCAGAGGAAGAAGGACACTGTGAAATACTGGAACTTTCTCTCCTCTGCCTCCATAGTTCTAGCTCCTAACATGGGCTCTACCCTTTATTCCAAGAACACAGTCCAGATTTTACCCCATTATCCTAGAAGGCTGCCAGGGGTGGGGTGGGGGGGTGGGGGGAGGGAGTCAGGACTTCCAGAGGATGGACACTTTGTTTCCCCTTACAGAAAGGAACCAATGATGAGATTTGGCTGGACAGGTCCTGGGCGTCCTTTGTCAAAACCTTAAAAATGTTAAACTGCCTCCAGGTGTCCTGTCTTTGGAGCCGTGTCCTCAGTGCTCTGATCTGTGCAATTAAACGTCAAACATTGCGTTAGTTGCCACTAATGATATGGTCCTGGCCCAGTTTTGTAAAAGCAGCTCCTTGGGGCAGTTCTCTAATACTCACTCTTTTTTCCTCCCAAACTTTGCAGAGATAAAAGGAGGCATAAACAATGATTTATTTATCCAGAAGTTCAAAGTTTAGCTTTGAGCTCTCCACCATTTTCAGTCCTTTTTGAAATCAAGAGTACAAATAAACTTCCCTCTGTCTCTTACAGAAAGGGCAGCTGCTACAAACCTACAGATAAAGATAAAAGGACTTGATGAAAAGAGCAAATTCTAGTCTTCATCCCTCAGCCTGGTGGGGAGTGGGGAGATCCTTGAATCTGTTATTGAACTTAGGTCTGGCTGCCTGCGCCTTTTTAAAAACAAGCCATTGAAAAGTCAAATGTTGGGGCCGGCCCGTGGCTCACTCGGGAGAGTGTGGTGCTGATAACACCAAGGCCGCGGGTTCGGATCCCATATAGGGATGGCTGGTTGCTCACTTTGGTGAGCGTGGTGCTGACAACACCAATCCAAGGGTTAAGATCTCCTTACCAGTCATCTTTAAAAAAAAAAAGTCAAATGTTTGTGACTTTGGAAGTCAGCTTTTATTCAGGAATACCGGTGGCCTGAGCTAAACCATCTCTCCAGTCAAACCTGAAGGAGAATGGCCAGTCTAAAGCCATCTCAAAGACTCAGATTTATTGAGGGATTTTTAAAGAGGAGATTGAGGGAATGGAACGTAGGAAATGAAAAGTAGGAGGGAGGGGAAAGTGAGCCATAGAGGCTCCATGCAAGGAGCCAGGTGCAAGGTCTTGCAAAAGCTCTGGTTTCTGCTCCCATCTTTGCTGTCATCTCAGGGTCCTCTGAAGGGGTGGAAGCAGCATAGCTTTACTGATATCTTCCTTGGTTTCCCAGGGTCTGGGTTGTATGTACAAGTTTGCAGCTTCCGGCAGGCTGGAAAACAAATTTACGTTCATGTAAATAATGTCATCTTGCCCCATAACCAAGGTTCAAAATATCAAATAACCATGGGAAAAGAGGGAACTCAGAGAAATGCATGCCAAAAAACAAAACAAAAACAAAACTGTGTCCTTTTTTTTTTTTTTTTAAAAAGATGACCGGTAAGGGGATCTTAACCCTTGGCTTGGTGTTGTCAGCACCACGCTCACCCAGTGAGCAAACCGGCCATCCCTATATGGGATCTGAACCCGTGGCCTTGGTGTTATCAGCACCGCACTCTCCCGAGTGAGCCACAGGCCGGCCCCAAAACTGTGTCCTTTTAAAATCTTTTAGAACCCCTATGTTTTTAGTTCTCAACATGGCTTCAGTCCTGCTCACTCCAAGTCCCCCTCTCTGTTCTTTGAGTTATCTACTCCATAGAATATCTTTGGCCAGAACTGTATCAGCTCATTTCAAGTGGCGTAGGACCTGGAGAATCAAGTAGCATCAAAGGAAAGATGGCAGGGAAGTCGGTCTCCAGTGGCTACCACCATGCCAAATCCAGTGGTGGATTTGTTGCTCTGTTTTGTTACAGTTGGACCCCTCCTTTTTTTGCTTGGCTTCTGGAACCTGTACTCCTCTGGCTTTCTCCTACCTCTCTTATTGTTCCCTCAGACCCCTGTTGTGGCTCTCTCCCTCCTGATCACTACAGGAGGAGTTCTTAATCTTGGCTGCACATTAGAATCACCTGAGGATTTTTTTCCACTGGAAACCAGAGTCTGCTCCAAAATAATTAAATCAGGGTCTCTGGCGGTGGGGCTGGGCATTGTAGCAGTTCTTTGTTCAGCCAGAGTACAGAACCAGTCTCTGCTCTCAATGTTGGCTTGCCCCAGGCATCAGGCCTCTGCCCTCCTCTCCACCCCACTCCCTCCCTCACAGGTGATCTCACCAGTCCCCAGCTTATTCCAGGACTGTGCAGAGTGGCTCCCAGATTTGCATCTCCAGCCTAGGCCTGCTGAGCTCCAGAGCCCAGATCCAGTGCCTATTGGCAGTATCTATTTAACCCTCCAAACAGACGTCCTTAAGAACCTGGAAGTACTGGGCCGGCCCGGTGGCGCACTGCTATAGTGCGCCGCTTGGGAAGTGTGGTGGCGCTCCCGCCGAGGGTTCGGATCCCACATACAGACCGGCCGCTCACTGGCTGAGCGAGGGGCGGGTGCAACGCCGAGGGTTGCGATCCCGTTGCCGGTCCTGGTCTGGTACGGGCACAACACTGAGGGTTGCGATCCGTTGCCGGTCACGAAAAAAGACAAAAAGGGGAAAAAAAAGAACCTGGAAGTACTAACACCCTCTCATCCCCTACATCCAATCCTTCAGTAAAAACTGTTGGCTCTATCTTAAAAATATACCTCCATTTGCCACGGCAGCTCCCATTCTACTCCAAGCCTTTGTTACCTCTCTTCCTTGACCTATGTTAGTCTCCTAGCTAGTTTCCCTGTTTCCATTCCCTATGGTTCATCCTTTGCACAACAGCCCTAGTGATCTTCTAAAAACATAAATCAAATCTCATCACTCCATGCTTAAAACCTCCCAAAGGCTTCCCATTAGAATAAAATCCAAACTCTTCACCATGGCCTACCAGGCCCTTCATGATCAAGACCTTGCTCACTCTTTGACCTCATCTCCCACTGGCCTTCCTTTTTATTTTTTTATTTTTTTATTTTATTTTATTTTTTTAAAGATGACCGGTAAGGGGATCTTAACCCTTGACTTGGTGTTGTCAGCACCACACTCACCCAGTGAGCTAACCGACCATCCCTATATGGGATCCGAACCCGTGGCCTTGGTGTTATTAGCACCACACTCTACCGAGTGAGCCACGGGCCGGCCCATGGCCTTCCTTTTTAATGATCAGGTCAAGCTGCTTCTTGATTTGGGGAATTTGCACTTGCTGTTCCCTCTTCCTCTAATGCGGCCTCCCAAATGTCCCAGCGGCTCACTCCATCTGCTCATTTAGGTCTCTTTTCAGTTCTTACCACATTCAAGTAGGCCTTTCCTGATCAACGTTATTACTTCTCATTCTCTTACCCTGATTTACTATCTATCATTAATCATTCTATTTGGGGGGGTGGGGGGGGGAGCTGGCTGGTACAGAGATCAAATTCTGGACCTTGGTGTTATCAATATTATGCTCTAACCAACTGAGCTAACCGGCCAGCCCTCTATTTATTATCTGTCTTCCCCACTAGAATACAAGCTCTGGAGGGCAGGTACTTTGTCTATCTTGTTTACTGGTGTATCTTCAATGCCTTGAGCAATGCTCAATATATATTTGTTGAATGAAAATGGCATTTTTGTAGACAGAAGCCTTATATTCTTGGTAGCCCCCACCCCCACCACAGAAGCATAGATTGGCATCTGAGGAGCCAAAGTACTTCCTGACAAAGGAACCTGATTAAGTCATTAATTAGTGTATCGTCATATTGATTATCCACTGCTGCTAATGGGAATGTGTGATACCTGTCAGGTGTGCTGAAGAAAAAACGTTGGGATGCTTCCATTGGCCCTTAGCTGAGGTTATAGCATCTAGGTGTTCTTTTCCCTTAGCACTAAGCCAACCATGTCAGCTAGAAGGAGAGACAAACCAAGGTGAGATAAACAAATCAAGCTGTTTCAAGGGATTGAGTAGGTGGGAAGGCAATCAACATTAGGGCTAATAAAAAGCTTGAATAGTATAAAAGGGCTGGAGGAGGTATTGTAGAACCTTTCTAGCACTTATGAGAGGTAAATTAACACCAATTGCTAAACATAGAAACTGGATAAATTTCAATATTCATTTAGAAATTAATTTTATGATGCTGTCCTAAGTATTAAAATACAGGTTATACTTAAATCATTCAAAGTTTGGCATGTTCACACATGTGCACAAAGTATTTGATAGATATTTACACACTGGGAGACACAATTATGGTCTGACTTTGGAGTTTTGGCAGATCTGGGTTCAAATTCTGGCAAGTTTCCCTACTAGCTTTTTTTGGGTGCGTGTGATCCGAACCCTCGGGCGGGAGCGCCGCCGCGCTTCCCAAGCGGCGCACTATCCAGTGCGCCACCGGGCCGGCCCAAGGATTGAGTAGGATTTAGATGAAGTAGTTTGGGGCACCCTTCCTTCTCTGTGTAGTTCTCTTTTATTCTCTTATTCTGTTTCTATGTCCCTTAGTCTCAGTATGTAGTGCTATCTGTGTTTTCTGGCTGAATCTATGCTTACTTACAATTGAGTGGTGGATACCATCTGTATTAGGTCTCTAGGGCTGCTGTAACAAATTAGCACAAATTAAGTGGCTTCAAACAACAGAAATTTAGTCTCACAGTTCTGTATGTCAGAATCTTGAAATCAGGGTGACAGCACAGCTAGTTCGTTCTGGAGGCTCTGAAGGAGAATCTATTCCCAGTCTCTTCCTAATAACTGGCGGATGCTGGCAATCCCTGGTATTCCTTGGCTTTTAGCTGTGTAGCTCCAATCTCTGTCTCTCCTTTCAGATGGCCTTCTCTTCTCTGTGTTTTCTCTTCTGTCTCTTATAAGAACACATAACATTGGATTCAGGGCCCACCCTAATCCAGGATGATTTCATCTTGAGAGTCTTAATTACATCTGCTAAAAACCTTTTTCCAAATAAGATCATATTCACAGGTTCTGGGTTGGCATATCTTTTGGGGGAGGAGGACCACCATTAAACCCACTACACCATCTTAGAGCAAGAGGGTGAGGTAGGAATTAGACAGACTTACTTTTTCTGGGTGTGTCCCTTCCCTACTCCTGCTCTTTCCATCTTCCCTCACCCTTCCCACCCCAGTTGCTTTTCAGAGCTAGGAGAAAGGATTGAGGGTTGAGGCCAAACTCTCTACCGATGCTCCCCCAAAATTTTGCTTTCTGGCCCATAAGATGGTCAGCCCTGGGCAGTCTCCTTGGCTTCACTACCTGCCTTGAGCAGTGACTTGTATGGCTCTGTCCATGCCCTACCTGTTTGCACATTTGGACCTGGACTCTGATCTCCTGAACCTGACCTGCTAAACCTGTTTCCATGCAAACCGAAGGACTCAGGGAACCTGCTTCTTCCCCTGGGGCCAGGGTTTGGCTTACTCTTTAGACTAGACAGGCTGGTCTCTGGGCCGATGGTGACATAGAAGAGGATACTTCCAGTTCAAATCTCTCTCCTAAACTCCAGGCCTGTTCATCCAACTGTTTCCCACAGAGGAAAAATCTACCTGGATGTTTCCAAAGGCACCTCAAACACAACCTGTCCAACACTGAACCTCTCCACTATCCCATTTCCCCCAACTTGCCCCTCCTCCTGAATTTTCTAGTCACTAATCTCTCCTTACCTCTCTCCACCCAGCTGCACATAAGCCTTGGCACCACCCTTTCACTCCGTGCCTCCCCAAAGCCATAAGATCCTATAGCTCCTACCTCCTAAATCTTTCTCAAACCTATCCACTTTTCACAACCCACTGCCCTTATCCTAGACTCGGCTGTCACCCCTTCTCAGCAACCTCTCAACTGATCTTCTGGTCTAGACTCTCCACCCTTTTTAATCCACTCTCTGTGATGCAGGCTGAATCATCCCTACAAATACTCCCATTGCTCCTTAGGATTCTTTTCCCTGCCCCTACACCCTGTCCTGCACATCCATATCTCATTCAAATCCACAGTAGGCAAAAAAAGGAAAACACTAGGGTAAATTAGGTTAATCACCTGGGGGCCCTGCTTGATCCCATTATGACTTCCACTCCTTTTTCCACTACCTGTAGGTCATGTTGTCATGAGAGAAGGAACCTTCTTGTGAATACAACCAAATGGCTGAGCTAGCTCCCCTTGGAGGGCATAAAGTAAGTATGGGATCCTAAAACATATCCAAAAACTGGGATCTTCTGGGATTGGTCCTGGACCTCATGTTTTTAGGATGATGGGATGGATGGAATTAGAAGCTCCATGACTAGAGAAGCTTTGGAATTCCCAACTCTGGCTTTCTTACTCTTAGGGGCTGCTATGGGTTGAATGTGTCCTCCAAAATTTCATGTATTGGAAACTTAATCTCCATTGTAACAGTGTTAAGAGGTTGGGAAATCCTATTATGGTAATTGAAACTTGGGGCCTTTAGAAGGTGATTGGATTGTGAAGACTGTACCCTGTTGAATGGATTAATCCCTAGAGGGTTTAACAAGTGGTCATGGATGTGGTTATGCTGGCTTGGAAAGGAGAGAGAAGCTTAGCTCTCTCTTGCTCAGCCCATTCTTGCCATGGGACACCCTGGTCTCCATGGGACCCTGTAGAGAGTCCTACTAAGAAGAAAGCTCTTACCCTGGACTTGGACTTCCCAGCCTCTGAGCCATAAGAAATAAATATAAATAAATAAAAGGTATTCTGTTATAAGCAACAGAAACAGACTAATACAGGGGCTCTCCTGCTTTTATTCTTGCTGTCATATGCCTACCTTTTCTTGGGATACATTCCTAAACCTCCCAGGACTTTCTTAGAATATGAGACAGACTGGCCTTTTCTTTTTTTTTTAAAAGATGACCGGTAAGGGGATATTAACCCTTGACTTGGTGTTGTCAGCACCACGCTCATCCAGTGAGCAAACTGGCCATCCCTATATGGGATCCGAACCCGGGGCCTTGGTGTTATCAGCACCGTACTCTCCCGAGTGAGCCACGGGCCGGCCCCAGACTGGCCTTTTCTAAAGAATTTTAGTATATAACAAAATAAGTTAATGAGAGGGGAAAAAAAAGAAAAGAGAAACAAATAATAGAAAACACAAACAAGATAAAGTCCCTTATCCAAAGCTTGGCCTCTGGTTTCAGATTAATTACATCATAGACTCTCAGTCTTCTTTCCTGGGGCTCTACATCACAGAGCTCCCAGACTGTGGCCAGCACAATCTTCTTTGTTTTGCATGTATAAAAACTGCATCCCTAAGTTGAGACAAAAACCATCTTTCCATCTCATCTTTATCTTTCTTGCAGCATTCACATCTTTTCAGCTGACTGGTAAGAAGCTGGAGACGGACAGCGGGAACATCCCTTACATGGTTCCTTAGTCACAACAGCCATGCAAGGAAATTTTGCCCATGGGAGATCTGGATTTGCCTTGGGGTTTCTGGCATGGTCTGAGAGACACCTCTTCCTTAGTGATGAGGATGGCTGGAGTAGAGAAAAGGGACCTAACAAATATGAAGCTCTCAACATCTGCTACACACTTTTTATATTTCAATTTTACCACAAGCCTTTGAGGAAGGTATCAATCACTAGTCATATTTTGTAGAACTTGAGACTCAGAGGGGTTAAGTAACTTGCTCAAGGTATTATAGTTAAACAGCCAAACTAGGAGTGAAGTTTGGGCTGATTGATGACAAGTTTGTGATCTAAATCATACAGCCTAAGAAGGGAGAGATGCCTTTGCTTTCTTTGAAGGTGCAGGCTTTCCCACCCTTCTTTTACTGGTTGGAGGATTTCTTTTTTTTTTTTTTTTTTTAAAAGATGACCGGTAAGGGGATCTTAACCCTTGACTTTGTGTTGTCAGCACCACGCTCAGCCAGTGAGCGAACCGGCCATCCCTATATAGGATCCGAACCCGGGGCCTTGGTGTTATCAGCACCACACTCTCCCGAGTGAGCCACGGGCCGGCCCCAAGGATTTCTTTAAATGTACAAACATTTGCTGAATTCCCTTATGTGCAAACTTCTCTGGTATTAGGATGTATAAAAATTTCATAGACAAGGTCCCTGCATTCGGCTCTTCACCTGATTCACTAACTATACTGAGTCTATCATTCATTAACATTTCTCTCAGATACTGAGCCCCTACTATGTAGAGGACACTGGCCTAGGAGCTGGAGGTGGAAGAGGCTAAATATATGGAATCTACCCTTGACTTGGTGTTGTCAGCACCACGCTCAGCCAGTGAGCGAACCGGCCATCCCTATATAGGATCCGAACCCGGGGCCTTGGTGTTATCAGCACCACACTCTCCCGAGTGAGCCACGGGCCGGCCCCAAGGATTTCTTTAAATGTACAAACATTTGCTGAATTCCCTTATGTGCAAACTTCTCTGGTATTAGGATGTATAAAAATTTCATAGACAAGGTCCCTGCATTCGGCTCTTCACCTGATTCACTAACTATACTGAGTCTATCATTCATTAACATTTCTCTCAGATACTGAGCCCCTACTATGTAGAGGACACTGGCCTAGGAGCTGGAGGTGGAAGAGGCTAAATATATGGAATCTAGAGTAAGGAAAGTGTTCCAGGTCCCAGCATCATCATTATCCCCTGCTACTCACTCCAAGTCTCTGAGGCCTTTCACAGGGGACTTCTGGATAAGGCTGTTCCAAGGGGAGAAGGTGGGTGTGGGGGTAGGGAGTTTTCTTGGCATCTTTCACCCATTTATTGTGGTTGGGACAGTAATCATAAACACCTGGTAAGCAGCACAAAGCCAGGGAAAGAGACAGGCAGAAAAGGAACTAACACAAATACAGAAATATTTTGAAGGAGGAGAAATTGCTCATTTATTTAAAAATAATGGAAAAATACCCTAAAGCTGCTGATCCGTTTCTTTGCAGTTGATGGCTTACAGGTGGCCTTTTCACTTGGAGAAAAGCTTCATGGCTCAGAGCATTTTAGATCAGAGGAAAGGTCTGAATTATAATCCCAATACTGCTGCCAGTTTACTGTATGACTCTAGGTGAATTACTCAATCTATATATGTGTCAGCTCAGAAATGGAGAGATCGATGTCAGATATGTCACAGTATGTTTTTGGTGGGATCTCCAGTAAAAGGATTATAATAAACAACAGCTATGCAACGTGTATAACAGAACACTTTTGCTTTCTCTGAGTGTGAAAAGGTGACAGTGCTCACAATTTGACACATGGCATAAAACCCTGGGGAATCTGAGGCTTTTTGGGGTTAAAAAGAAAGCAACAGACACCTGTTATTTGCATAGTGCTCTATGCTCTCTGGTTTACAAAGCATTTTCAGATATCATCACAACTGATTCTTACCACACCTGTGAAATGAAATTAGTGTCCCCATTTTATAGATGAGGAAACAGGTCACAGAGTCAACCTTCAGGCAAAGGTTTTTTTAATTTTATTTTTTGTCTTAACTTAGCTATCCAGAATATTTTTTTTCACTTCAATACTTTGTGACTATGGACCATCATAAATGCCATTATCAGACAACCAAAACACAACCTACTTTTCTGGGGATACCTCCTACCCCTGCACAGACCTCATACCCAGAGTAAGTAGCACATAGCTGTATATCACCAGACACTCTAAACAACCCACAACAGTAAGGAATCATCTTCAAGTTTATTATGCAACAATGTCTGGGAGTAGTTTGGAATGGATTGGAGTTTAGAAAGAAAGTCATTTGCGTTCATTTGGTGAATAGCCAGCTAAGATTCAACTTTGTTTTTTTGTTTCTGCAAGGGTATGAAGGCTGTGAAAACAGGGTTTGTTTAGAGAATTAGCATGGGAAAATAACCATTTAAAAGCTTTAGGCACAAACCAGTTAACTGCCCATCAACAGTAAGCTGATTGATAGTATCGCCTCCTTTGAGGCGGGGGTGATGGTCAGCTGTAGGGCCGTGTTGCTCCACGGACAAAGGAAGCACCCCCCATCCTCCCTTCTGAAGACTCTTTTCCCATCAGAGCACACTTGTTTATAGGACCTGTCTAGAGGTAGGGCCTCCGGGTCGGGGGAGTTGGTTCTGTTGAGCACCGTTTTGGGGTAAACGATGATAGACCTGACAATGCTGTTAGGGTGGGGTTGGAAGGCAGCAAGTTCTTTTAGCTTTGTACCCGGCTGGGTCTCTGACTGGGGAAGCCGGACGCACCTGGGGGCTTCCTGGCCCCGGGGCCCACCGGCTCCAAGCCAGCCTCCTTAACCTCACCGCGAGGAAGGCGCCCTGCTGCCTACGCTTATTGAATCCAAGAGTGACTTGAGGTCACACATACAGGGACAGAAGCAGGGAAGCAGGACCTGTCTCGGGGTGGGCAGGTGACGATGTACCCTGGGTAGGGCGGCAGACCCTCCGGAGAGGTTGAGTCCCTGCCCCCACCCCGACTCTCTAATAGCCCCCAGTCCGCATTTGCGAGTGCAGGCTTCTGCTGTGGCCAGGACCCCTAGGGTCCTCCACTTCCAGCAAGGCCCCCAACCCCCCCCTCCCTGTCCCCTCCTCTCTAATTCCCGCGGGCCCCGCAGCGCTCGGGCCTCCCTGGGCCTCCTCCGGGCCGGCCCACTCGGCTCTGCTAGTCCGGCGCTGGGGGCGGGCGCCAGCCCCCACCCCTCGGCGTCCCCTCCCCTTCACTTCCCCCTCCCCTCGTCCCCTCCCTCTCCTCCTCCCCCGTGGCGAGGCGGCGGCGGCGGCGGCGACGGTGGAG